AGGGGGAGAGGGAGAGAGGGAGGGAGGGAGGGAGGGAGAGAGAGACAGCCATATGCTTATAATCCCAGCACTCTGGGAAACTAACGCAGGAGAATCCAAAGTTCCAGCCCAGCCCAGGCCACTTAGGAAGACCTGTTCTCAAAAATATTTTTAAAAATAGCTTTAGTGTAAAGGCCCTGGGTTCAATCCCTAGTATTTACAGCGAAAAAAGAAAAAGAGAATAAAATAAAATTTTATGAGACTTTTTTCTTTGTTATCATTGCTCTTTTATGCAGCTGAAACACGTACACTAATATTATAACAGGCAAAAGTAACTATAACTAAAATGGATTATATGTTTAATATGCTAAGCAATTCATATGTGGTATCTGTTTAGTCCTTTCAACTAACCTAAGAGGTAAGTACTATCATTTTTTTTTTTACTTTACATATACAGATCAAAGGACCAAAGAAATTAAGTAGCTACTCAAGTTCACACATCTAATAAGCAAAAGAACTGAGGCAGCTGATTCTAGGAGGGATGTAACCAGCATAGTATATTGGCTTCTCACTGACTTTTAGAAAAACACAGGTCTCCCACTTATAAGTTTATACACATAAGGTATAAAAAAGAATTACAAAAGTAAACTGTGGCTGTCAATATAACAAATTATGACACGTCCTATCCATGAGATCCCACTCTGTCCGTAGCACAGTACTTTCCCTTAGATTCTAGATTTTCTTATCAAGCCAGTCTGGACTATTAGTGGCCTGCTACAGACAGGGTGAATCAGGCAGAGGAAAATGTGGTAAAGAGGGATGTCCGCCTAACAGTGAAACACTGAGACTAGGGATATAGCTCAGTGGTAGAGCGCTTGCCTAGTATGCAAAAGTCCCTGGGTTCCATCTCAGCATTGCAAAAAACAAAAGAAAAACGTGAAACCCTTTATCTAGTTCCCTATATTCCCTCTTCCCCACAACTGAAAAATAAGTTTTATAAAAGCAAGCTCTCAGGCCAAAGGGACAGAAAGCACCAGCATAAATCTTGTCACACACTCGACAGCTTTCTAACCTTAGCAGATGACCTTTGGTTGGGCTCTTCCCGTGGTTTCAGGGCTCCCACTCCAAGAGTTGGGAGCTGTGTTTGAAAGACAGACATTCGACCACCAGTTGGGGACATCAGCTTAAAGGCAGCCTGAAGAGCAGGACCCAAGGCACTCTGAGTCTCCAGAGACTTGTTAAACATTTGTGGCAAAGTTTTCAGTAAACCTTGGACAAGCTTGTGAAATAAAGCAAGAAAACCCAAGAGTGTTACAATTAAATTTCTTCCATAATAAGCCAGTATCTGATACAGGAGACAAGACATTGAGTTATGATGATGGCCAGAGAATCTACAGACACTGCAATCAACAATCAAGTGGGCCAAATGACAAGAAAGCCATTTTAAGTCAACATTATAAACTGGCAAGCAAGACATCAAATTGGAGACATATTTCTTGTACATACAGCAGTCCAGCAAGACTATACGTCCAAAATTTATCCAAAAGAATCATCACAATGTACAAATCTGATATATTTAATGGCATGAAATATGGCTTTCTCCATCACTTCTATGTGCTCTATTCTGTTAACTTTCAAAGTGAGTTTAACTCTTCCCTGATGCAAAATCTAACATATCCAGTAACTTTGCCAACTAGTGTCACTACAAAAGAAAAACAAAATCAAAACCAACTACCTAGTCAGGTTAGGTTGTACAAATAAAGAGAATTAACAGGGAGGAAATACTTCACACTATGGCACAGTGACCCATGCCAACAGCAGAGATCGTAGTCTCACTAGTTAAAATGTTCCCCTATGGTATTTATGCACGTACAGGGTAGACAACATTCTGTTCACCTCTCACTGTCTTACGGCATGGTAATTTCCAGGCAGGTAATAAGAGTTTCTTCTGAACTGACCCCAATGACACTCAGTGAATCAGACAAGCAAAGGGCACTGAGAGCAGCCTGGCTACTGTGCATCTGTGTGGTGACCAGAGGCTTTATCTTCTCAGCAACCCTCCCAACTCCCCAGGCGCTGGTGAGACAGCTCTCTTTCTGCCATTCCTCCTGCCTGAACAGGCTTATCTTCTATCCTAGTACAGCGTGCTGCATTACACTTAAAAATGACTGCAGCTTGAAAATTATCTTCACCTAAATACAAGTATAAAATGCTACATGTCTTAGAACTATCAAAGAAAAAAGCAAAATGTTACTTAAAATTTATTGCAAAAGGATGTCTTCAGTGTTTTGATTAAATATCGGGAAGAAAATTCGCCTTACCTCTTTACTTTCATTTAAATTTACCAGTAAGTTTTCTGGCATAGGTATAAAAATATCTGAAAGAACAAGTAAATACGTATTTTAAACAAAATACATGACACCGATGCGCTGAACCACCCGTCCTCTTCCACTCTTACAGTCCCTAGGCACTATCTCTGAACAGAGTCATCACGGAACGGGATTCGGGCTTTCTGCTTCTTGCCTATAGCTTTAAGAAATATCAACAGCCTTTCAATTAGAAAGCACAATTTGGCAATGTCTGTGCAAGTATTCTGCTTCTTACAAACAACCATTTAGCATCTTGCTTTACCTTCATTCAGCGAGCCAGCCAAACATGCACTCGACATTAAAAAAAAGCAAGTAACACAACACACAAGAACCATACATCCTGCCAGGTGAGGTGGCACACACCCATGATCCAGCACTCAGGAGGCTGAGGCAGGAGGACCATTGAGAGTTCAAGGCCAGTCTGAACTACATAGTGAGACTCTGGCTCAAAAACAAAACAAAACAAAACAAAAAGGCTCTATTTTTATACACAAGTAACTCAGTTCACCAATACTTCTATCATCCAAACCCCGCTGTTCTCTCATAAAGAAGGCCCACACAGGGGCTGGGTGTGTAGTTCAATTGGCAAAACACTTTCCTGGCATGTGCACTGGCCTAAGTTTCCATCCCAGCACCACAAAATAACAAAACCAAAGATCTGCCAACGCCCCATGCAGGGTTACAAAATTAGCACCAAAATGTATGCAAACGGGCCACTTGGGGGCCTCACAGAATTTACACTTATATGGCTTTAGGGATTAAGTTCCCCTTCTTTGATGGGAAGCAACAGCGAAGAGGACATAAGTGGTAAAGAGTTATATGGAAAATTATTTTTTATACTTCTATATTGATTTTGCTTACACAAAAATAGGGCTTATTATGAAGTTTGTAAAAAAAACAATTAACTTGAATTATTAAATGTTTAGCTGTCATATAAAAATTCTGTCTGCTCTTTAGAAATCTTTTTAAAAGTATTTTATGACAGTAGGGTGTGGTGGCACACTCCTGTAATCCCAGCACTTGGGAGGCTGAGGCAGGAGGATCACTGTGAGTTCGAGACCAGCCTGGGCTACATAGAGAGTACAGTTCTGGAGCCAGGCATGGTGGCACACTCAGGAGGCTGAGGCAAAGGGATCTCTCTGAGTTGGAGGCCAGCTTGGGTTATATAAGTCAGTTTAAGGCCAGCCTGAACTTCATTGTGAAACCATGTCAAAAAGCAAACATAAATAAATGAAAGAAAAAAAAGAGCACAGCTTTGGGTTGGGATGTAGCTAAGTGGTAGAGCAAGTGCCCCACACATACAAGACCATGGGTCTGATCCTCAGCATTGGGGGAACGGGAAGCACATTTCAGTCATTTTATTACACATTCATAGTTATACAACCATGATCATTATCTAATTCCAGATCTTTATCATCATCTCAAAAAAGAAACTCTAATACCACTAATAGTTACTCCCAGTTTCCCCCTTATCACCAAGTTCCTGGCAATGAATCTACTTTTTGAATATGTAATTCAGGGTATTTCATACAAAGAGACCCACATTGTATGTGGCCTTCTGTGACTGGCTGCATTCACTAGCACATTTTCAAGACTGACCCATACATCAGGTCTTCCTTCTTTTTTTCCTGCTGAATAATATTCTATTGTAGGACTAAACCACATTTTATCAGTTCTCAACTGCTACGTCATATGGTGACTCTGTTTAACTTTTTGAGGAACTGTAACCACTGTTTCCCACTCTTGTAGAGCGTGAGGGTTCTAATCTCTCTGTATGTCCACCAGTACCTACCTACCTATTTAATTTTGTGTGTCCTATGTGGTATGAGGTGACATTTCACCGTGCTTCTCATTTGCATTGGTTTCATAACTCATGGTGGAACACATTTATCAAATTGCTCACACATTTTTAGTGGTAGGTATTAGAGTTGAACCCAGGGCCTTGCAGAAGCTAAATAAGCCAATGAGCTATACCGCATTCCCAAGAATACTGAATACTGTGCATTGAGTAGTGATGCTGCTCAAATCTAAGGTTGTGCCATTCTTTCTTTTTATTGTTATAGTTCTTCTGGTGCCCTAAGTTTTCAAATGTCTTTCTCCCAATTTGTGGGTTGTCTTGATGGTACTCATTTTCTTGATAGCATTCATTAAAGCACAAAACTAATTTTTTTTGGAGACAGAGTCTCACTAGGTAGCTCAGGCAAACCTTTTTGATTTGTGAAGCTCAATTTATTTTTTTCTTTTGCTGCCTGTGTATTTGATGTTGTATCTAAGAAACTGCTGCTAAAACCAAGATTTGCTCCCATGTTTTCTTCTAACATTTTTCAATCTCACACCTGGGTCTATATGACCCACTTTTTAATTTTCTTATTATGATAAAATATGCACAATGTACAAAAAATCTACCCACTAAGCTTTTCTCTTTTTTTTGCTACCAGGGATGGAACTCAGGACCTTGCACTTGGAAAACAGGTGAGGCATCACTGAGCTAAATCCCCGGCCCATTCTACTATTTTTGTTTGGGTTTTTTTTTTAACTTGGGTCCTTGCGCTTGCAAGGCAGGCCACCGAACCACTGAGCTAAATCCCCGGCCCCCACTCTACTATTTTTAAGTGTATAACTGATGGCATTTAACATAGTCACAATAATGTATAGCCATCAACTATTTTCAGAACTTTTTCATTATCCCATAGAAAACCTTTGCACTCAGTAATTAATAACTCCCTAGCCAGCTTCTCTGTCAACCCCTAGTAATCTCTATTGTATTTTCCATCTCTGAGTTTGCTCAATCAACATGTCTTATACAACTGGAATTAGACAGTAAGTTTTCTTGAATGATTCACTTTTTCCCTCTTCTCCAGTCTAATTGCTAGCACTGTGGCTCATGGAGTTAACTGTCCAAAGCAAAAAACCCTTTGTTTTTCTCCATACCTCCCTTTCTCTATTTTATTTTTTTCCGCTATTATATGGAGCCAGGTGTGGTGGTGTACACCTGTAATCCCAGCACTCGGGAGGCCGAGGCAGGAGGATTGCTGTGAGTTCGAGACCAGCCTGGCCTACACAGCAAGTTCCAGGTCAGTCTCATAGTGAGACCCTATCTCAAAAACAAAACAAAACAAAACAAAAAACAACAACAACAAATGGAATTAATATTTGTCCTTTTGCATCTGCCTTATTTTGCTTAGTAAAATCTTCAAATTTCACCTATGCTGTGACAGGTATCAGAATTTCATTGCTTTTTAAAGCTAAATAATATTCCATCTTTACCTTTACACTGCATTTTGTTTGTTCATTCAGCCACTGATGGCTGCTTGAGAGTGTTTTCAATTCTTGGCTACTTTAATTAATGTTGCTATGAATAATATATAATTTATCTGTCTGAATCCCTGCTTTCCATTATTTTTGGTATATAATGAGAAGCAGAGATCCTAAATCATATGCTAATTTGAACCTAACTTTGAAAAACTGCCTAACTAATTTCAACAGCAGCTGTACCATTTTCCATTCCTGCTATCAATGCACAAGAGTTGTACTGTCTCTCACTTTACCAACACTTGTTATTTTCCATGTTTTTAAAAAACATTAGCCATCCCCCTAACCAACACGAAGTGGTTCACTCAGGTAGAGTTTTGTCTGAATTCCAGGGAAAGGGAATGAGCCCAGGCCTTGAGCACACTAGGCAAGCACTCCACCTGTGAGCTGTGATCCAGGTCCTCGCGGTGGCTCTGATTCACCCCTCTCTAATGGTGTGGCACTCAGCATGGCCACCTGTATATCGTCTCTGCCTACTTTTGATATGTCATTTGCAAATATTTTCTCCCATTCTGAAGGCTCTCTACACTCTCTGCATAATACTCACATACAAAGACTTTTAATATTAATAAAATTCAATTACTTGTCTCTCCTTTATGCCAAATCCAATGTCATAAAGAATTTCTCCTGTGCTTTATACTTTTAGCTCTTTAAGTTTTAACCCATTCTTTAACTCATTCTTGATTAATTTTCTTTTTATGATGTGGCAAGCATCCAACTTCATGTTTTTGCTTATCCAGTTTTCCTACAACCATCTGGAGAAAAAAATTCGTTTACTCCATTACATAGTCTTGGCATTCTTATCAAAAAATATAATTGATTTAATCCCAGCACTCAGGAGGATCACTGACAGATCAAAGCCAGCCTAAACTATATAGTGAGACCCTGTTTCACCCCCGAAAATTTAATTAACTATGTTAGGCTTTATTTCTGAGCTCTCTACACAATTTTTTGGACTTCATGTATGTCCTTAAATATATTTGTTGTTGCTGGGCATGGTGGTGCACACCTGTAATCCTAGAACTTGGGAGGCTGAGGCAAGAGGACTGCTGTGAGTTTGAAGCCAGCCTGGGCTACATAGTAAGTTCAAGGCCAGCCTGAATTATGAGACCCTGTCTGTCCCCAACCCCCCGCACACAAAAATACATACATATTTGTTGTTGTTTTTCTTTTTGTGGTACTGGGAATCAAACCTAAGACCTTGGACATGATAAGCAGGAGCTCAAACACTGAGCCAAATCCTCAGCTCTCAAATACTTTTAAATGAATGAATGAATTACATTTAATCTGATTTCTAACATTAACTTATTTTTTGTTTCCTTGTTCAGAATTCACTTATCCATAACTTTGTTTCCTGTTTTATAAAATGACAGATTAAAATGAAGAACTCATACAACTTCAACAATCAAATGATTTTAAATTCAAGATTTTCATTTATATAGTAGACTTATACATTAAACTCCTAATTTGCCACATAGTCATGAAATACTTTTTACATGGAAACTTCCTGAGGCAGTTAAGTGTATAATACATACCATCAATATCTGAAATTATTAGCATCTGAGGTTGAGAAAGACCTTCCTGAAGGCTATAGAAATGAATGGTACTGTCAAATGTTATAAAGCCAATTTTTGTTCTTGTGTTGCCAGGAAGCCTAAAGACAAACACATACAGAAAAATAATTTTATCAAAATTTCATATATGTAAATATATATTTTTAAAATAAAATATCTGTTAAATATCACAAGATATCTAGTTTAATATTAAGGAATACAGACCAACACAATGTCCAAAACTCCCAGTTTTTACCTGGAAGAACACATTCTCCCCAAATGGAAAACACTACACATAAGTCAACTAATCAGTGAAAAACAGTAAAAATACAGCAAGCTAAAACATATTACTTCCCTATATTACATATAATTACTTAGGAAATTAATACGTAACAAATTAAAGCTATTTTACAAAAAAATTATTCAGTAGCTGGAGATGTAGCTCAGTGGTAGAGCACTTGCCTGTCATGTGCAAAGCCTTGGGTTCCATCCCCAGCACCACAAGAAAAAAGAAGCTTCAAAATTACTCACTGTAAAATAGTTTTTTTTTTGTTTTTTGCTTTTTTTTTTTTGCTACTCAGGGATCAAACTCAGGACCTTGCACTTTCTAGGCAGGCACAGTGTAATATAAAATTTAGATTGTACAACTGTTTAAAAGTTTTTGCACAGATCTCTTTTACATTATTAACGGATTTAAATGGACTTTTGGACCATAATTACAAGGCTTTTTTTTGGTGTGTGCTTTGAAAATGAGTCAATTTACAAACACTGTTAATTCCAGACTGAAATTAAATGAAGGCACTTACAAATCCAGATTGTCTAACAAACTCTGGCAAACTGAATTCAAGTATCCAGTTTCAAATGCATTATGAGATACATCAAATACAAAGAGGTACACTGGAGGTTGTGGTGGTCGTAGCTGGAGGGAAAAAAAAGAAGCACGTTAAACACATTTAACAGGCAAATTTATTTGCTGTGTCCATGTGCAGCAAAACCAAAAGATAAACATTTACAGTCTGATATTTACAGTCCAAGTGGCACAACAAATAAAGCTATATTACAGTGTGTACAGGTATATACTAGAAAGAAAACTCAGTCTATGGCTCCCACACTCCAGCAGGGTGTGTTCTCTGGGGCAGGGAGGGAGGAAATAGGACAAAAAGGTCTGCTGGCAGCTCTGGCAAGGTTCAGCTGCTTGACTTAAGGAGCACTAACAAAGATGTTTACTTCATAATTATTTGATAACCTATATATTTATGTTACACTGACTTTCTAGGGAAATTATAGCTATGAAAGTAATGAATTAGTCTCAGTTAAGTTATTTAACCAACATATTTCAGCTAAATTCCATAAAAATGTGAGGTCCTACATATATTTTATAAACTTCTAAATCAAGAGATTTGTTTTCAAGTTAATATATGTATCAAATAACCACAATGAGAGTTAAGTATACAGTACACTGCCTTTTATGTGTCTGTGTAAATACCACTTACCAAATTCATAAAACACAGGTAAGCTAGGAAGGAACAAAAACCTTTGTAATAGGCAAGTTTCTGGATTTAAAGGAAGTCATTTTCACAAAATCTGGGAGATGAAAGGATTTAGAAGTCCAATTCAAAAGAATCACAGTACAGAAAGCTATTACAAACCACTTAAGTGTCACAAATGTTTTCTCCACTACCACTTTGTGGTAAGAGACTGATTCCACAGTAAAAAGAACCAAATGCCCAAAGATTATGCCACAAAAACATCTAAAATACTGAAGTTATTTAAGATTGACCTTAAATCTTATCTTCATATTCTCCTTCTCTAGACTAAATTATGGCATGGCAGCTGGGTATAGTGGTGCACACCTGTAATTCCACACTCAGAAGGCTGAGGCAGGATGACTGCCACAAGTTTGAGGCCAGGCTGGGATATACAGTGAGTTCACTGCCACCCTGAACTACAAAGCAAGACTTTGTCTCAAAAAAAAAAAAAAAAGCCTTAGATTTTAATGCATCTACTCTTCTTCCTCACTTAGTAACATGTGGCAAGGCACTGAACCTAAGTTTGATTTCATACCTGTAAAGTAGGGGTAACAGAATTTCCCTGGCTTACTTCACAGTATTATTTTGATGATCAAAAATATAACGCCTAGGGCCAGGGATTTAGTTCAGTGGTTCCACCACCTGCCTTTCAAGAGCAGGGACCCATGTATGATCCTCAGTACCAAAAAAAAAAAAAAAAAAAAAAAAAAAAAAAAAAAAAAACTGGGGATGTAGCTCAACAGTACTGCACTCACCTGGCAAATGCAAAGTCCTGAGTTTGATGCCCTGTATGGGGGGGGCTACAAGACCCTAGCCAGGCGTGGTGGCACACACGCCTGTAATCCCAGCACTCAGGAGGCTGAGGCAGGAGGAGTTCAAGGCCAGCCTGGGCTACACAGTGAGTTCAAGGGCAGCCTGAATTACAAAGGAAGAGCCTATCTCAAAAAAGCTAAAAGGGGCGAGGGATATAGCTCAGTGGTTTTGCTGCTTATGCCTTGCAAGCCCAAGGTCCCAAATTCAATCCCCAGGACCCCCCCCGCCACCAAAAAAAAAAAAAAAAAAACCTAAGGGGCAGTGGCTCTAAAATGTAAAGTACAGAGCCAGGAATTTAGCTCAGTGGTACTGCCGCCTGCCTTACAAGCACAAGGTCCCAATGTAAAGTACTAAATACCAAACATAATTCTTTTTAAAATGTAAGATGTGAATAAAATATTCTCACACATGTATAAAAGTACTTGCAAGAGGATCTTCAGCACATATTTGTAATAATGAAAATATTAAACTGTAGATTTCTCAACAGACACACAAGAAACTTACATGTAATTTTACATATGCTCTCTTTTCAAATGTTTTCTTATACACAAACTAATACATTTATAATGAATAAATACTATGCTTTCTAAATTTAAAACATAAAATTTTTCTGGGAACAGCAGCATAAACCTGTAATCCCACCAATTTCATTTGAGACAGGAAAAGCCCAAGTTCAAGGCCAGCCTTGGCAGCTTCACAAGACTCTGACTCAAAATAAAGAATATATAGGCTGGGGATGTAACTCAGCACCAAAGTCATGGGTTCAGTCCCCAGTACCATCAAAAATCTTTAAAAACCCAAAACCAAAAAAAGACCCACAAAATTTTGTAAAAGGATACATTGTTTTACTTAAAATCCACTCTTATGAGTACACTGTATAAAAATATGAAAGCTTACCATGTATTCTGAAGGAGCCATAAACTCAATAGTAGCATTTTGAACTTCAGGTCTTCTGTGAGGTTCTCCATAAACTCTGGTCAAAGGATTGTACATGAATTCTTCAGGAACTGTATAAAGTTAATATTATATTGATTAAACTAATCAATGCCAAAGGATTAATTTCATATTTGGCCATTTTCTTAACTGAGGGGTTTACAGTCAATTCAGTTTCAAGGGATAAATTCATTTTTTTAAATGTTCTATTCAAGTTCCCCATGCATTCAATGGCACTAACTATGCCTTGCTTTTACAACTACAGTCACTGTGACTCTCCTTTTGCCATCTCCTGATACCCTTTCTGTCTTAATTCTTGCTAAAGCTGTTTTCCTAAAGTAGCTTCAAAAGACTGGAAAAACTCATTCGATACCACTTTTCCTAGATTCCATTATTATACAATATTATTAACACTTGACACATGAAACATAGGGTCTAGATGGACCTAAAAAGCTGTGAGACTATTTCAGATGTAGAGTCACAGTGGATTAAGACCTTCACTAATTAATGAGACATTTAAGTTATACTTGTATCTCAAGAGAGCTGACAAAAGGTTAATGTACATCCTGCATCAGTGGCAGTCTATTTATAACACACTAGTGTTCACAGTCTGCTCTAAATTAATTATCACTATACCTGGCCTTCCAGTAATCACTTCAGAAATTAAAATCCCTTTGTAAAGGGTGAGCTAGTTTGTGAAATAGGCTTGTATGCACATGAAAGAGGCTTCAGTCTTTATCACACTTCATTTTGTATTATCACAATCTCATTCTATATATTCAAACACCAAGCTGTTTAAGTGTAATACCATTGCACAGACATTTTGTAAATGACTAGAGTAAAAGAATGTTTTTAATCTATACTCATTTTCTTCTAGCCTTATAAAACACATAAAAACAATAACAGTGGTTTTTTAAAAAATTTTTTAAATTGAGCCAGGGATTTAGCTCAGTACTTCTGCCACCTGCCTCACAAGTGCATGGTCCCAAGTCTGATCCCCAGGACCAAAACAAAAAAATCAACAACAAAAAAACTGTAAAAAAGATGGGCGTGGTGGCACACACCTATAATCCCAGAACTAGGGAGGCTGAGGCAGGAGGATCCTGTGAGTTCAAGACCAGCCCAGGCTACATAGTGAGTCCCAGAGCAGTCTGCACTACATGAGAACCCTGTCTCAAAAACATTTTTCAAAATTAATTTTATCAGTACATTTTAGATATATATAATGATAACATTCATCATATGGAATTTGTACCTTTACATATTATCCAGATTCTTTTTTCACTTAAAAATCTTTTATATTCCTCTATTTCTCAACTTTTTTCTTTTCCTCTTTCTATTTCTCTTAATGAAATTTCCTTCCAGACATTGACTTCCAACCTGAATACCAGCCTACTCATTCTCATCTCTCCTCTTCATGGAATGGCGTTGGCTGGACAGTAACCTAGGTTATTGCTCTTGTATGGTGTCCTGTCCTCATGCTGTAGGGTACACTTCTTTTCCTACCTCTACTCAGCAGAGTAAAACTCACTCTGCAGAGGCTGTTTCTTTTCCTACCTTTAACAAAACTTGGTTAGTGTTTGCGATTATCTTGACAAATTCTTTCTCAAGACAGAAAGAAACTAGAAACCACCTCCAGATGAAACTTCGGCACCCAAAAACCCAGTTACATAACTTGCCTTAGTCAGCGCCAGGATATCAGGAAAGGCCTTTTGGGCGCATTTTTTTTTGTTTCTATCTAAAATGCCACAAAGGCTTTTTCTTTTTCTTCTTCTTTCCACGTCTGTCTCCCCTAGGCTGGGACTCCAAGGGTCTCACGGCACCAGGAATAGCTTATGGGACAAAGAAGGAAATGTATGACCTCTGTATTTTCCTCCCACTTGCATCAGACCTACAGCCTGCTTGAAATTTATCTCCCTTCTTCTTCTTCTCATTTTTAGTCACTTATTGCCGATTGTCAGTAAAGAACAGCCAGAGAGCCTATTAATCTAGCTGACACCTGTTTGACCTCATGTTTCGGTGCTCTGTGATACTTTCCTCAGCTTTCTCATTCCTTCGGGGAAAAATAGCTGCTGGTAACTTGGTAGCACGCCTGAGTAGCTGCCTACCCTAGTTTACTCCCAGCCTCATCTGTGCTTTTGCCCTGGATGGCCACTTCTTTCTCAGAGTGCTACTTTAGTTAGGGTCACCATTTTGACTTGTCACATGTCACGTGGCTAGACGTGGGTTTGAGTCAGCCACCACCATGTTAGTTTCTAGATCCCTTTCTTGTTTCTTCTAACAATGCAGGTAACTGAGTAACATATGCTTGATGTCCTGAGCAGAATAAAAGAACAGCCAGTAAAACTTAACTCATGTGACCATGAGTCATTCCTTAGGACTTCTAATGTTTTCTTATTGAAAAAAAAAGAGGTTTCTGTCTCTACAACCTTAAACAAAGTACCAAAGTTTTTACTATGGAGAAGACTAACCTGTTTAAGTAGGGGGAATTCCAGTGGCGGGGGATTCCATCCTGATCTCCTGGGAGTTTCAAAGGACTAAGTAGAAAAAACAAATGGCTCAACCCACTCTCACTAAGGAGTTATTGGGCCCCACATGGAGACAAAAAGCCCTCAGTAGGGCTTTCTTCTATGCGTCTATAAAAGATGCCAGTATTATCCTAGCTTTGGGCAAAGGCCTCTGTCTAGTCAATATCTGACTGAGTCTTACAAGGGCCGCTTTGTGTGTCCAAATCAGGTCTCCTCCCTCTGCATGAGACATCATTTTAAGGACCCAAGACCTAGTTCTAGAGAGAACCATCAAGTAGCTCCCCACCTCTGTGCTGCTACAAAAGATGTCTGCACGGTCTAGCTTCAGACAGAGATGTCTGTCTAGTAAATAATCGAGCCTCACAGGGGATGCTTTGTGGAGTCATCGAGTCTCCTTCTTCTGCATGGGATGACAACTTAAGGAGTGAGACCTAGTTGTCTCTTTCTATGGGCCCCAAAATGAGCCACGGGAAACCTCATAAACCACACTCACAGATTCCACTGAATTCACCACTCAGCCATAATCTCAATCAGTAGGAAACGTTTGACCCTGCCAATTTAAAAAGTAATAGTTTATCTACCATTGTAATATGGTTTGGGTTCAGTAAGAACTAGAAAATGGTGAGAGGTGGGTATGGGACGGCAGCACAAATTATGAGACTTTTTGTGAGACTTTTTCAGTTAAACTGTTTCTTCTTAAAATATAAAAGGTGGAGTGAAATTCTTTACGTTCAGGCTTTTGTTTTACCCTTTATCCCAGGAAAGGGCCAGAAACTATGGTATTCACAGGGACCCCTAAGGAACACAGAAATATCTTTAATGATCTTGTCCTCAGATACCCACATGTCTCTCATTCTCAACTGTTTAATGGAGAAACTTCAGATGGGACTCCAAGCACATATAACACAAATGTTAGACACAGCCTTTCCTGTGTTCAACAATGGGGATCTAGAGGGGATTCAAAAGAGAAAAGCTAGAATTATAACTGCTGCAATCGGCAATGTTTTAAGCTCACCCAAATCAACTAAGAAAAAACCCAATGACAACTAAGGTTCCTGTTTTAAATGTAAGAAGTCTGGTGGACACTGGTCGGCCAGGTATGGAGGCACGTGCCTCTACTTCTAGCCCCCAGGAGGCTGAGGCAGGAGGAACAAGAGTTCAAGACCAGCCTGTGCTGCACAGGGAACTGAAGGCCAGACTGAACTCCATAGTGAGACTCTGTCTAAAAAAAGAAGAAATCTGAACACTGGGCACAAGTCTAGACCAAGCCACTGCCTGAGCCCTGCGTGCAGTGTGAGGCAGTCAGTGTGCCTGACTTGCGGCACTGAAGGATTGACTCTCCCTGCACCCAGAGAGGAGCTAGGCCAGTCAAAACTCTTGTTTCCTGCTCAGAAAAGGCCCAAGGGAACCTACAATGCCCCTGTTATGCTAGACATTAAGGGACTAAGAAGAAAGCTATTCCTGAGAGCCACTGGAAGACTTAAGGCTCCTCTTCAAAAAGCAAGACTCCAGTACTGCTCCGTGTGCAGACAAGTAGGGTCACTAATGACCCTAATTGACCACAACTTATATGGGCACCTGTATTGAGGCTGCTGTTTTATATCAGATCTATTATGTGGGTAATCTTGCTAAAATATGATCCTCTGGCTCTTGATAATTTATCGAGGCTCCCTCTTTGCCATCCCACTTTGTCTTCCACAGGTGTAGAAATTTGACCTGCTCCTGGTATTTGGGTTCTACATCCCCAACATAAGAGTACAGTTACTTTCTTTCTCCCAGGGAAGAGACAGCTCAACAGTCACTAATTTTTTTTCTCATTGACTTTGAACGATTTTTCTCTTTGACCCAACCAGCGAGCCACAACACCTGAAGGTAGAGAGCACATAATCCCAGAAGGTAGGGTCTATAGCCCCTTCCAGCCAGAAGAAGCTACAGAAGATAAGAGACTTCCACTCCCTCAGCACCTCGTAAAGAATTATGGGGATTGGCTGGGCATGATAGTACACATTTGTAATCCCAGCACTCAGGAGGCTGAGGCAGGAAGATCGCAAGCGTTCTGGGATACATAGTGAATTCAAGGCCAGTCTGAATTACATAGTGAGACTCTGTCTCAAAAAAAAACAGAGTCGTGGATGTAGCTCAGCAGCATAGCACCTGCCTGGCAAGCACAAAGTCATGAGTTATCCCCAGTACCAAAAACAAACAAACAAACAAACAAACAAAAAGAATTATGGGAATATGTGTCTCTCTGGGGGAAATGAGACAGATTAGGGCGTAACAGAGCTGGCTGGGGAAATAAGTATGACTTGTAAATGACAAAACCCCAGGACACACACACACAGAACAGTTCCCGAAGCCCTGCACACCAACTTTCCATTAGAACTGGAGCGCATTTCCCCTAAGATGGCCTAGGTGACAACAGCCTGAGGAGACAGTTGCCACCGAGTTTCTGCCACTGTGTTCTCTTACATGGTGACCTGCACTCATCCTGTAGGACAGTGACAGCAAACGTTTCAGCACTTCCAATGACTCAAACAGCACACTGCAGGACGCATGCTGCAGGTTTGCCACCACTGCTATTCCTACATTTATGTGGCCCAAACTCACTCTGCAGAACCAGTTTCTTTTTCTACCTTTAATAAAACTTTGCAAAGGTGGGTGTGGTGCTGCATGCCTATAATCCCAGCACTGGGGAGACTGAGGCAGGAGGATTGCTGTGAGTTCAAGACCAGCCTGGGCTACACAGTGAGTCCCAGAGCAGTCTCAACTACATAGTGAGACCCTGTCTCAAAAAAAACAAACAAAAAAATAAATAAATTAAATTAAATAATAAAACTTTGCTACCATTAAAAAAAAGCTATGTAATAATTACTGACAAGGATCCCTCCTCAATCACTAGGAAAGTGACATTCAACTTATGCTTCCAGACTGCCCACTGAGCAGTGAGTGAATTAAGCAGCTATCCAGTGGGCTTATTTTCTTTCATCCTACAGAAAAGGCATGGGATAACTTCTAAATAAAAATATTTCTTAAGTTAACTGGCTTAAAAAATATCATGTAATATACCACTTATTATACATTCAATATAAGAAATGTAAGGTGGCCTCAAAATATTATCACATTTTTTTGCTTTAAAGGCATTATGTATTTATAAGTATAAATTCATAGAAAAATATCAGTGACGGTATCAGTGGTCAGCTTTCTCTAAGTGGAAGAGTTGATCACAGATAGCTAACAGGACTGCTTCCTTTCTTTCTTTGTTTCCTCTTTGAGACAGGGTCTCAGTGTGTGATCATGCTCTTCTGGTGTCAGCCTCCCAAGTAGCTGGATTACAGGCTCTTTTCTGTTTCATTTACCTCACATTTGTATAACCTGATTTTCCTACAGTGTAAGGAGAAATTGTAAAATGTTTCAAAAAAGCATACCATCATTGACTCGGTAACATAAGTTACACTTCCATCTCCTCTGATCAAGGAAGCTGACAAAAGGGTTGATGTATGTCCTGCATGAGCGGCACCTCACGATTGTACTGGATGTAACCACAGGCAATTGCTGTAAAAACAGAACTAAGTTCTTAAAGACAAAGACCATTTGAAAAGGCAATATTAACCCACCCCTTCCAAACAACTACTGGAACATTATAATTTTGGAGAAAATAAAACATGTGCAAACTGCCATACAGCCTAGAAGCAAGAGGCCCTGTCTTCAATCCCCAGCACCACAAAAAACAAAACCAGGGTCAGGGAGCTACCTCAGTGGTGCTGCCACCTGCCTCAAAATCACAAGCTCCCGATTTCAATTCCCAGTACCCTGGTACCAAAAAAAAAAAAAAAAAAAAA